CAGTAAAATGAAATTTCGAGAATTTGAATTATTCCAAAATTCTAAACTTTTTTCATCCTTTCTCAGTGAGGAAATAACTGTATATTTCCATTTGGTACAGTTGCTGAGTCAGATAATTAGAAGTGTTGATCATCAAGATGAATGATGAAGGAAACATTAAATTTTTTTTCAGTTTCGACAAAAATTCGTACCCTAAGTGAATTTCATAGTCGTATAGCATGCAATCAACAACCACCCAGTGCTGCCGAAATATTAACAACGTTACGGTATTTTCATCAAACATTGATAGGGTTAGTTGAGTAAATCTTTTTAAAATTATTTCGAAAGATTTTACACTATTCCAACTTCTTCTATGAAGCATTTCATAATGAGTTCAATTTTTATTTTTGAATGATTAATTCTAGAAATTTATTATAATCCGGCCAACTTAGCACTTCCTTTTCTAATCACATTTCCTGCCATTATTTCCCCTTCTCATTATTGATAATTTTATGGTTAATAATTAATTAAGATTTTTCCTTTATCCATATGTTCGACATGGTACAGCTTCATTATTGAATATCCTGTTTTTAATTATAGAACATCCTATGTTTAGTTTTTTTCTCTTTTTTTTAATTAATTAATGATTAGAAATTTTATGCATCAATTTCACTAATCCCTTCAATCCATCCAAATGTTGATTTTTGTTTTTTTCTAACACTATCATAATCATTTCATTCTGATTTTTGCAAATTTCTAGAGAATTTTATTTTCATATTTTTGGTAAGCAAATTCTCCAATTCCATTAAATGCTGATACTAAATTTATTCGTTTCCAATCAATTTCAGTTGCAATTAGAAGTTTTAATTGTTTCATTCGTTTTGTATTCCATTCTTTTTTTAGCTCCAAAATGTAATTAACATTTTATTCATTCCATTCCATTTAATTTTATTCCAGAAAGAAAAAAAGAAAGAGGAAAAGCAAAAGATGGGATTAATGATTAGAGAAGCGAAGGGGGATGAATTAAAAATTTAATTTTGCAGCATATTTTGCATTTTAGTGTTCATTTTTGCCGAAGTTTTAATTGTGAAATTTTATTTTTGGAGGTGAAAATTGACAGTTTAAAATCTCCAGAGTCTAGTTTATGAAAAATGAGCAAGTGGAATTTGACCTGAAATCTTGTGGAATTTGATTCCTGCACCTTACAGCTTATCCACTAGCTAAGTGAATATTGCATTTCAAATAAAACTGATAATGAAATTAGCAATGTCAAGAATAGAGATAATGTATATAAATTTTATTTCTGCCGTTGTCTATCTTCGAGTCTTCCTAGACTTATCATTCTGTCTCGTATTATAGAATTAACATAGAAGTAATAATAATTTCAGATTATATGTTTTAAATTATTGCAGCTAAGCTAAAATGTTTTTGTTTAAACAAGATATCAATTATAAAAGTTAACACATTTACGCAAACCCACAAGTGAGCATAAACATATTTGTGTAAGTCGACAAATAAGAGTTAACGCATTTGCATAAATCAACAAATAAGAGTTAACGCATTTGCACAAATCAACAAATAAGAGTTAACGCATTTGCACAAATCAACAAATAAGAGTTAACGCATTTGCACAAATCAACAAATAAGAGTTAACGCATTTGCACAAATCAACAAATATGAGT